ATTTTGACCCCTTTGTTGACTTACCATCATCCTACACTAATATCTTATCTTTAAAAAGCATCTAAATTTTGTACTTAGCTTATACCTATATACTACGATTTCTAGGTTCTGTAAACTCAAAAAATCAAACTGCCGGGCTTTTTTGGCCCTCTCGTCAATTTCAATCACTCCTGACTAGCAGAACTGAAATCATTAACTGACAATAAGCCAGGTTCAAAGCAATAGAAATAGGCTTCTTCTAAAAATTGTATTATGTTAAGTCAAAACTCTGCTTTTCCAAGAGTTTTTTAGTTTCGAGAAAACGATCCCTTATTATCAGACAACCCAATATTGTTTTGTCATTAGAATATAGTGCAAAGGTATCAGATGTTTGCCGTTTTTCCCCTACTTCTTCGGTATACTTGTCTCTGCAACAATGATGGTGTTTTCCATTGAGATTCAATGCGTGAGTTCCCTTACCAAATGCAAGTTCTTTATAAACTATACTAAATCCAACTATTAGCCTGCCCTCAGCTTCAATGTTTCACTGATCCTACTACTAACTTCATTAACTTTTCGAAACGAATTCTCCATTTTAATGCTTCGAGCATTTCTTGATGTCAGGAACATCAGTAATTGTTTCCTTTTTCTTGTTTCCTGTTACCGCAGCTAAACAGATGATAAGTGAAGCACATACGTTGCGTTTCAAAAAAGATAAGTTTATTCTCAACATTTTCCGGTGCCCATATGTAGACAAAAATAGCACAAACCTTAGGCATCTCCTCTCACAGTTTTCGCGCTTTTGACTATAATTCAAAGAAAGGAGAAGGCACAAAAAGTAAGTAGAATTTTGAAAAATGAGCATTAAAATATCAGATTCGGAAGAAGTAAGGCCGGTCAGTTTTCTTTGATGGATTTTGTAAAAAAAAGTGCTTGCCTCGAGATTGCAACAGTAGCATAGGTAACTGCTTGTGAGAATATTATTGTTTTCGTTGCTTAAGAGCTTTTTGACTCAAAGATGTTCTGTTTCCATTAATAATCAACATTCGAGACCGCGTTAAGATCGTCGCCTCGAAAGTGTTCTATTGCGGTTAACTGACATGCTGATCATTGTCATATCCAGATTGCACAGTAGGTAATCTCTCTCTACGGTAAGGGCAGGGTAGGTGGACGATGTAGAGGTCAATACACCCATCTCCTCGAAAGAATTTTAAATTTCAATTTGTCAGTTTACTTCGACAGATCACCTATAGTACACGTAGCAACTTTAATCGCTGCAGCGATTTCTTGCCATAGCTACGCTAAGGTCCCGTCATGGAAAGAAGTGATTTTCGCAATCAGCACATGCGATAACACTACTAGGTAAGGTTACAGTACCTCTGAGCTTCTCACATTCTAAAAAGATTAAGCTGTCTCTTGTGCTTTTTTGCCTCTCCAAGTCTCCAATTTCGATAAGCAAAACTGGAATTATTGACTGAGCAAAGGCACATTATTTTTAGGAGGAGACTTCTTTTATTGATAATGTGTTGCTAATGCCTTATGGTTGTCCAGAATTTTTTTTAAGTTTGAAGAAAAACTTATTGTACGAACTTGTTCGACAATCCAATACATATTATGGAACAGAACTTTCAACATTCTGGGATTTTTATACTTAGTGAATGGAACGACGATGGGCCACACCCTTACGGATATGAAGACCTTGAACATGTAAAGGAATTGCTGACCTGGGAGGCAGGAAAGTCACACTATTCACCCCATTCAAGCTCGAAACCAGAGTATGAAGAATTGCTGTTGTTTCTCATTAAATTTAGTATGTGAACAATGTTATCTTCCAATAAACCATCTAATTTCCATAACAGCTAAGCTATCTTAAACTTCCTTTGCTTATAAATCTTTATTAGCTATTTATCAATACAGTATGCAATATACTAAGCATGACAATCGATAACATTGTGTATGACGAACAAAAATTCTATGACTAAGGCACATGACTATGGTATGGAGACGATCAAAGTCATTACTAAGCTTGAAATGAGCAAGTTAATGATTTTATATATATGAAATGCTTGGTGCACTCGGTCACATTCATTCCATCTTACCAGAAGTAATACGGTAGTCGCACTGCTTAAGCGTTCTACATGCATTGCGGTAAATCAAATTAGGTTATACCAATAACTTATTTGGAAAAAAAGGTTCAATTTAATGTAACGAGCCCTATGAACATTAAAGACCTGAGACCAAAATCTGTCGGAAGGATGAGACTAATCTAAGGAGAGCTTATAAGGTTATTCTATTCTTATGAAGAGTCATCTAAACGATCGCTGAATTCGGTCAACGAATAAGTTATGGTGTATTGACGGAGAATTTAGAAAGGATGCACACTACAACGAACAGCGGATAATTCTCCGAGTAAATTCTTCAGTCAAAATGAGATTACAAGTCGGAAATTGGTGCCTCCGCACCAGAACGCCTCCAATGGATATGGCATCGCTCACAGAGCAGATGTTTTCCAAGAGGATAGCAGCACGCATCACCCTCATCCGTAAGTTTGAGTCCACATCCCTGAAATGCACAATGGTAACTAAAAGCTAATACTAAGAACAAAATCAAGATCGGACTTCGCATGAGTAGCAATCGATGTGATAGTTGTTGTCTAGTGCCACTATCCTCACGGTTTCACCAGTATTCTACAAAAAGTTGGGTTAATGTTGGAATTAGCATTACCATTCACTAACAGTTTAGCTTTCGAATGTTTCGTCATTGTTATAGCGCGGAATAACTTGTACATCAATAAAACAGAAGTATTCATTTTCTTTCAAGATAGAGAACATAAACTGCAGACTGAAGATCTTTAATAAAGGAGTAATGAATGTTTGAAAAAATTAAAAAATAAAACGGTTGAAACTCGTTTTGGCAAGAGATGGAAGGACTTCATTTTTAAAGACTACGACAAGGGTTTTTGATTGTTTCACTATCCATTCTCAAAGAATGATATGAGGACGACTGCATTATCAGAATTGAGCTTCTCATTTACCTCGTCAGGTAGAATAGGCTTCTGGCATCGATAACATCTTGGAGCGAAACGATCATGATAGTCTGGCATGCAGTAAACCTGAAGTTAGTTCAGATACTACTCCTCTCATTTTACATAGAAATTATGCGAAATGATTATATAATGATGTGTGGTATAAAAAGCTAACTGCAAAGACTCTAAGGCTAAGAATATTGTGATCTATGATCAACAAAATTCTCAACTGATCCAACCTGGCTTTCTTTGTCGAGAGCAAACGGCACGCCGTCTAAACAAATTCCACAGCCAGTGCATCGGAAACAAGCGGGGTGATAATTTCTATTCAACGCCGACAAAACCTGTTAGAAAAAATGCATTGAAATCCTTGTGAATCAAACGATTCCGTTGTTTCGTTAATTGTCTTGTGTACAGTAAAGACAAGATGGTCCAAGCCAAAGTTGTTGCATTTGAAGTTTGAAGCAAAGAACTAGATAAAAATAGCTTAATCCTAAAGACCAGTAAAAACACATGCTTTATCTGAGGCTTGTTGTTCCTCTCATTAGCGTAATCAACCGTTGAACTCAATTCCTTCACTACCGGTAACATTTGTTACTAATTTTACATCAAATATTCTACTGTATGGTGTTTGATTGGTAAGAAAAAGTCCTGTCATCATTATAGGACGAAATTTTAAGTGATTTCTAAGTTTTTTTTTGAAAAACAAAAGTTTGTTTAGGAATAGCAACCCCCATTTACC